CAAAGACAAGGAATTGTTTTTCCCTCCTAAGTCGGGAGCAGGGCAGTTCTCATCCTCATGCTCTCAGGGTGGCTTGTGGGGCTCCTGCCATTGTTCGTTCATTCCAAGCAGCAGGAAGAACGTACGTCCAGGAGCAAAGCTTTGTCCCGAGACTTGCCAGAGAAATCCCCCACCCACGCCCCCGCCCTGGTCACAAGGTGTAGGACGCGGCGGCCCTGAGGACACAGCACTGAGTGCGGAGGCATCCCCCCGTCTGCCCACAGTGCTTGTTCAAGCGTTGGGGAAAGAGGAGGCACTGCCTGGCGGCCGTGGGTCACGGGCCACCCCCACCCCGAGTGGCTCCGGGCCACGGGTACAGGACGGAGGGTCATCTTGACAGACTCCCCAGTGCCACACACACCCTGGGGAGGTAGGTTGGCGGCTGCCTGGGTGCCTAATGGACCAGGCTGCGTCGGTGTCCCCTGCAGCTGCTCCCACAACGGCGTGGGCAGGGCAGGCCCACTCCGCAGGCTTGGATGTGGGGCTGGTCCCCCGGATGGTGGCCAGACGGCTGCCTCCCACGGGGGCACCGCCCAGGGTTGCTACCTTGGGCAGCATGAGAGCCTCATGGCTTCTCGGGACTCAGAGCCCCGTGCTTTTGCCTCGGGGCCGAGGATCCCTGGTCTGAGCGCGTCTGTGGGAGCCTGTCCCGTCCCTCCCATCGGAGCTTGGCCGCCAGGCAGTCAGCTGTATGGCTGGCCTGGAGGCATCTGGGAAGCAGCTCTGTGTCCTCTGCCTGGCCTGGGAGAGGAGCCCATCGTGGGAATGGAAGGTTATGTCCTCATCCGGGTGCCCCGTTCCTTCCCACCGGGTGGCAGACGCCTTCAACCCTGCCACGCACCAGACGCGGTCACTCGAACCGCACGGCATCCCTCCCAGGGAGTGGAGATGGTCAGAGGACCAGGGCTTTCTTGGGGCCGTGGCTGCAGCCACTGGATGGGACGAGCGTCCGTGAGGAGCGCTTGGGGGTGGGGGCGTCTCCACCTGTGGCGGGGACCTGGTGTCCCTCTTGCGGAACCTGCCGTGTAGTGACACATCTGTCTCCGCCCAGGCAGGAGGCGGAAACAGTCTCTGACACGTATCTGCAGTGGAGGAGGGGTGGGCTCTGTCGCTTCTGGAACACCAAGCCCCCCACCCCATGGTGCCAGCCCTGCGTCCCCTGGGCCTGGGTCAGGCTGGGTGGGCCAGGTCCCCATAGTCTGGGCTGCTGGGCGGGGGTGCTTACATCTGGGGATGCTCTGAAGCCGCCAGAAAAGTCGGGAGCGAGGCCAGTGCAGGACCCAGCGCCCCATGAGAGACGTGTGGGGACGGGCACTGGCCCACTGGAGGGGACAGCCTTTGTCTCGCCCACTGTGAGCCCAGCCACGCAGCCATAGCCGCCCCCGTGAAGAGGCCTCCCTGAACCCACGCCCAGCGGGCACAGCTTTCCATGGAGCTGAATTCTAGGCGAGTGTGGCCTCCCCTTGGGTGCCTCCATGACAGGGAGCTCAACCCTCCACAGGCCTCTAACACTTGAGCTCAGCCACAAACGCCTGAATGTCCATTTTTAACATTGATCCAAAATAAGCTTTTCTGAAACTTCCATTCCTGGGGTCACCTGGGCTTTCACGTGGAGAATACGATGAGCCCCTCAGAACCCAGACCGTGGGCCAGGTGCAGGCTCTCCCGTCACCAGCTGTAAGGGACTCCTCGATCACATGCACCCCTGGGCCTTCGAGGAGGGATGGCTCTGAGGACACGGCCACCTGTCCCTCCTCGGGGCGGACATCCTCCTCCTCACTCGCACGCGGGCACCCACGGAGCTGAGGGCTCTCCCGGGCCGGAGAAGTCTCTGCAGACCGAGCGTCCGCAGTAAACGTCCCCAGTGCACGTGAAGACGTGGGCCGGGGGGTCGCGGAGTCATCGCTGGCTGGTGCGGACGGGGGCGGGCGGCCACCCCTGCAAGCCGGAGCCTGCCTGTGGTCCTTCCACAGACGCCCTCCTGGGCGGCTCCAGGCTGAAGGTCAGTGTTTGGCTGTCGGGCAGCTTCCTGGCCAAGACCAGCCGTCCACCCAGAGGCGGGCAGCTTTGCGCCGGAGGGCCTTGGCGGGATGTCCGTGTTGAAGGATGGGTTTGGAGCAGCCCCTGGCAGGGGGGCAGGCTGGGTCATCCTTCTGGGATGGGGAGAAGGGCTGGGGCCCCACTCACACGACCCCTGACCCACAGCCTTCAGCTGTTGACCCTGGGCCCGCGGAAGCGCCAGCTCGGCCCACCTCGGACCTTGTTCCTGGTCCTGTGGGGCCAGTGCTCTGCCCCCTCCCCATGACCAACCATGGGACTCGGGGGCCTCGGGAGGGAGAGGCTGGGGCCAGCAGAGCGGGGAAGGCGCTGGAGCAGAGTCCGGAGGAAGCCCAGCGCCCCTGCGACTCCTGGGAACGCGGGTCCGGGTCCGCAGACCCAACGGCCTGAGACACCACCTTGGGGTTCTTGGTCTCCCGTGCAGCTGCCGCGGCGTGGGGGGTGGGTGTGGACGGGGGCGTGGACAGGCCTGCTGTGGGGCGTGGCCTGGGGGAGCCACACAACCCCGGGCACGGCACCCACGAGGCAGTGTCCCCTTCAAACTGAGCCCGCGGCTAAGGGCAGGGCCTGGGGCTGGGAGCCGAGGGCGCCTCTAGTTCCAGGACGGGCACCCCGGGGTCTGCGGTGTCCCGCGGAGCTGACTCGGGGTCCCGCAGATAGACGCCCACCCGCACACCGCCGGGCAGAGTGCGTGTCGTCCCAGCTGCTGACACACGACGCTGACCCGGCTTCGGGGCGCAGCTGCGCGTCGCATCACGGAAAAGCAGATGCGCAGAGCCCAGCCCCGTGTTTGTGATGTGGTGAAGTTGGTGGGTTTCTCTGCTCACCTGAGGGTCGGGGAGGCCCCACCCTGGGGGGCGGCTTCTGCACCGGCTCTGGGAGTCACGGGCCTGAGGACGCGTCTCGGGTTCACCCGCAGGAAGCAGAGTCTCACTGGCTGTCTCTCCCGCGGTCTTGAAGGACTCGTCCCTCTGCCGTCGCTTCCCCACTGGAGCTCGAGTTTATTCCCGGGCTTGTCCCCTCCCAGCAGGGGCTGCAGGGGGCCGCGGAGAGCAGGGAGGGGACAAGCCTCCGGCTGTGTGGGCTCACGGCCCTGCCTCTGGGCCGCTCCCCCCGACCCCGTGCATGCGGCGGTTCGTGGCAGGAGGAGCCGAGTGCCACCCTGGACGTAACTAGAGGTCACCTCGACACCCCCCACTGCCACACCCGGAAGCACAGGTTTATAACCAAATTTTCTGGTAAAATGTGCTTTTCCGGTTAGCGGGTCCGCCGGTGAAGCGTCTCCCGTCCGGGTCAGGACTCCCCGGGTAGCGGGATGAGACGGTGCACGGGGAGCTGTGGTGTCACTCCGCGGGGGACGTCCCTGCACCTGCGAGCACCAGGTCATCGCGACCCACAGAATCGTGGGGCAGCTGGTCTCAAGGGGGTTGGGAACACGCCCTCGTCCAGGAGGTGCCCTGGGCTGCGGCCCTTCCTGGGCTTGGCGGGAGCGTCCCTCGCCCGCCGCACCGCCGTCTCCCCGGACGTGAAGGTGTGCGAGGAGATGCGGGGAAGCAGGGCAGCAGGCGCGTCTGAGGAAGCGTTGTGGGGTCCGCTGAGCTCCCGCGGGTCGCGCTGGGCACTGGACGGCGTCCGGCTGCGGTGGACAGCCCCCGGCAGAAGCTGCTCTGACAACCGGGGTCCTAGCCGGGACACAAGCCTTCCGGTGACCCCGCGGGACCCCGAGATTCCAGCAGAACGACCACGGCCAGAAGTGCGGGGAGGGAGGCCTTCTGCGCCCCTCTGCTTGCCCTCGTCCCCTACGCTGACCTCAGCCTCCTGGACAAACAGCTCGGGCTTCCCCTGCCAGAAGCATTCCCTCCAACAGAACAAACCGTTTCGGGGCAGCAGACCCCAGAGCAGAAGGACTTTGGGGAATCTTCCTTGACGTTCCAGCTAGAGCGGACTTGCAGACGTGGGCCCGCGGCTCCCCGGATTGTGGCGTGCTGTCAGCGCAGCCCTCCGGCCGGGACACAAACCAGAGCGGGCGCCAGAGGCTCCGCGCATGAGCCTTCCTCCTCGGAGCGGCCGCCACGTGCGTGTGTGCGGGCGCGGAACCGGGACCTGGGTCTGACCTTCCAGCTGATGATGCCGTTCAGCTGTGGGCTCCCCTTGCACTCAGGCCGTCGGTGACCGTCCCCACAGCACCGTGCGCCAGCCACATGGGCCCCCCCGGGGTTGGGCCCCATTTGGGGCCCCCATGCACCATGTGGCCGTGGACGCCGAAAGCGCGGGCTCAGCTTCCTCAGAAACTGCCGGAAGGTTTTCCAGACCGATTTTGCCGGTCTGCATCCCGCTGGTGGTGGCAGGTCCCCGGGTCCCCGGATGTCCCCAGTTGGGGGACGCGGCCTCTCGGGCGGCCTGCGCACCAGTATGGTCATGGCCAGTCGTCTGGACGCCCTCTCCCCGGGCCTGTCCTCACATAGCCGGTTGGGGTCTGTCGGTCGTTCCTGGTTCCGTGAGTGTTCCGCACAGCAGTCCTCCTTCAGGGACACGTGCCCCGGCCCGTCCCCTCACTCACGCCTCTCCTTCTGGGCACCTGTCTCTTGTGCGGTTTCCGTCGAGTCCTACTTACCAACCGTCCCTTTACGGGCTTTTCCCATCCTGTTGGAGAAGTCTTGAGGACCATTAATGTATCCTCATGTGCCGTCCTCCAGAAACCTCATTCCCCCGATGTGGGGCTCGATCCGAGGACCCAGGACCCCAGATCATGACCTGAGCTGAAGGCAGACGCTTAAAGACTGAGCCCCCCAGGGGCCCCTGGAAAGTAGTTTTAGGTAGAACACGCCCAAGGGACGGTTGGCGCTTGTCCACACGCGTGCACAGCTGACCTGGCCGACCCCTGGTCAGGGGGTCGCTGCGTCTCAGTCGGGGCTGGACACGTGCAGTCCCTGAGGGGCTGCTTCACCTGGTTTCCTGCACCGAGACCACATGGTCGTGGTTCGTGTCTGGGAGTGGGGCCCGTCGGCCGTGTCCTCTTGAAGACCGTCCTGGCCGTTCTCGGTCCGGTCCCTGCTGCCCGTCAGCCTGTCGCTGCCTGCAAGGAGCGGGTCTGCGAGGAGTTGATCTGCTATCGCACCGAGTCTGTAATTCAGGGTGGCTCCGCCGACATGCTTAACAACATTCAATCATCTCGTTCATAAATACGAAACGTCCTACATTAACTTATGACTCCTTTCAGTGATTTTTCTAAACGTTTGACACGTTTTTGTCAGGCATATTTCCCTTTATTGCTATTTTGTGCTACTGTTTCTTAAAAAAAATTAACTTTCTAGGGGCACTGGGTGGCTCAGTGGGTTAAAACCTCTGCCTTCGGCTCAGGTCATGATCTCAGGGTCCTGGGATCGAGCCCCACGTCGGGCTCTCTGCTCAGCGGGGAGCCTGCTTCCTCCTCTCTCGCTCTCTGCCTGCCTCTCTGCCTACTTGTGATCTCTGCCGGTCAAATGAATAATAAAATCTTTAAAAAAAATTAACTTTCTAGCCGTGTGCTCCCTGTATATGGAAATGCAGTTCAATTTCGGACACTGGTGTCCAACAACCTTGATAAATTCAGTTAGTGATCCTAATGGCTTTTAAAAAGTATTCTTTTAGGTTTCCCGTATTTACGGTCTTTTCTGTCTGGAAGGCCAGCTGTGTTTGTCTGCTTCCAGTCCCCACGGCACTGGGCGCCTTGCTGGCCGCCAGCATGGCGGGTCTCCGCTGAATGGAGGTTTCCAGACAGCAAGCCCCCGATCTCCCCTGCACACAGTCGGTGCTCAGTAATTACTTGTTGCTTGAGTATTTTTTAATCTAACTATTAAACTTGGGTTTTTATCTGCCGTTTAGTACCCTTTTAGATATATTTCCCCTGCACTGTGTGATGGTACCAAATGCCCATGTGGGCTCCCGGGGTCCTCAATGCGAAGGTCACGAAGCCGGACACAGGCACGTTTTCCTGGGCGCTACTGACACTGTGTTTGTGACTCTAATGCTGAGTTCGAGGACACGGGTTAGTCCACGGTTAGTGGTGTCTTCACATGGTACCATGTCCCCTCCCCGTTAACTGCGTTTTGTGCAGGAACGCACTTGCCGATGTTATTCCTCCCTCTGGAAGCTCCACGGGCCGGGAAAGGGGTGGGAACCCGGTTCTTGAGCGAATGTCCACCCTGGGTGCGGTCCAGGAGCCGCGGGGCCCTTCTCTGGCTGGTCCGGGCCGGCAGTGAGCCCTCCCGCTTCGGGAGCCCCTCTGTCCGGCACCACTCGTCCTCCACCCTCCCCGCCGCCTCCGAGTCAGGTTGTGACAGGGACCGTGGAGCTCTGTACTTGTGGGCAGTTGGGTTGGCCGGTGGGGAGGGTTGGCCGGTTGGGGGGAGGCTGGCTGTGGGGGAGGGGCCGGCTGGGGGGAGGGCCTGGTGGGCTGGTGGGAGACCCACACTCCCTTCTGACTGTCATGCACTGATGGCCGCTTGCTGTCTGCACGTTTGGTCAACCAGAGGGACCACCAGCACCTGGTGACAGTGCACAGTCGTCCTCCGCTCCTCCCTCACCTTCCGTCTCAAGGAAAAGAAAACTCTGGAACCACGAAGTGAGTGATGCTCACTCTTCCATTAAGTCCCTTATTTCTATCTTACTATGAAATGTCCCAGGTTCTTAGGGACACCCAGGGACAGTCCCGAGCTGGAGCTCACCAGGGACGGGGGCGGTGTCTGCCGTTCCCAGGTCCCGGTGCTCTCCATGGCACGTTTCCCTCGGTGACCCCTCGTGCTGTGGGCGGCTGCCTCACACTCACACGGGAGCCTACAGCCTGCGTGTCCGAGCACGCCCCAGCGAGGACCCCGTGGAGATGCCGGGGGCTCCGTGACCCTTCTCCCCTGTCCTAGCTGCAGGTTTTGGTTTATTTCCTAGTTTAAGGGTCTTAGACTCGATGTGTCTTCTAGTTTGGCAGTCCTCCACATTTGCATTATTTTAATCCTTTTTCTACTGGTTTTAATCATACTTATCAGAAAATTGAGCCTTGATTTTGGGCAGAAGTGGTTTTCCTGGTGATCCTGAGATGCCATGTCCATCATCTTCCCGGCAAACAGCAAAAGTCCCACGTAGAATTTCCTGTCACCGTGACTCTCTCCCCTGTGTGTTCCTGGAGTTTGGGGATGCTTCTCTCTCGGGGGCCTGTGCTTTTCCTCTGCCCATCCCCGGGCTTTCCTGTGATTCTGTCACCCTGGAAGTTAGCGTCCCCTCAGCTGCTTCGCATTTCGTCTCAGGGACTTTTCTAGGACAGGTGAGCTCACAGACGTCACATCTGTCTTGGGTCCCAGGGTCCCAGTGGGTTAGAATTGTGACCGGTGATGCCTTCACTTGTGTCGAGGGAAGCGTTCAGGGTACGGTCCCTGCCCCCGCCCTGCCCCTCCCTCCAGCCTGCGTCTGGGGGGGCTCTGCACGTCTGCCTCCCACACAACAGGCTCACGTGTCCCCACATCCGGCACACTCTTCCCTTTCTCACACTCTAGCCCTGCGTCTGCCTTTCTGCCCGTCTGGGGCTGCGTCTCTGCTGTGATTCTACTCATTCTCTTTCTCAGAATTTCCAGGAACCTGCACCGGTTGCTCATTTCTCGGTGTTAATTCCACACACCGTCCACAAAATTAAACCAAGCCTTGCCTGGGTCTTGTCAGTGAAGCCCATAAGAGCAAGCAACCAAGAGAGCTTGGAAAGCGTGTTGTTCCCGGGGTCGTGGCCACCCCCCGCGGGGACAGTCATGGTGTCACGCTGCCGATGAGGATGCCACGCCCAGGCCCTGGCGCCCCTGTGCACCCTGAGCGGAGAAAATGGAGATTTCCTCTTCCTTTGGGTGACCAAGGTCATGGTGTCCTTGTCCCCAGGACCCCACTCTCCTGAGCTCTGCCGGGGTTTGTCCATCAAGGGCGCAGCCTGCAGGGTGCGGTGAGCCGGACCGGGGCGCTTTCCTGCTGGTTTCCCGCAGCCCCCGTTTCCGCGTGGAGCCTCCCGTCAGTCCCGCTGGTGGAAGGGGCGCTTGCGTGCCCACCTGTGAACGGACTCCGGGCCGCACGGCCTGTCACCCGCAGCTTCACCGGTGCACCGCGGGCCCGCGTTCTAGAACCTTCTGAGGGCAGGCCAGCCTCACCCCGGGGGCGAAGGCCCTCGAGCTCTGGCCGCACTCTCGCCCACAGGTTAACACAGCACCTGCCTGACGCGTGTCCCGTTTGAGGCCCTCATCCAGCGCGGACCGTCACTCGTTCACGCGGACTCAGGGCCGCCGGCGCCCGCACTGGGAGGAGGCGCGTCTGACGCGCGGGTTTCTTCTGAGGCACCGCCCGGCCGTCCTGCCCGGAACCGCTCGCCGGGACTTCAGTCCTGGGACCCGGGGCCAGTTTAACCCGAGAACGCCCGCCAGCGGGCACAGCGCTCTCCGCCCCGCTCCACGGTTCCCAGGAGGCGGCTGCCCGTGTCCTGAACCAAAATGACATTTGTTCACACGGGTCGTCTTCTCTCGTCAGGTGTGACACCCCAGAGCTTCACCTGCGGCTGCCCGGCCCTCCCGCCTCTCCCAGGTCCGAGCAGGAGCATGGGCGAGCGGGCGCGTCCCGGGAGGCCCCCTGCCGCTGGCCGCCCCTCACCTCCCGCACCGCGTGTGGGTTCCTCGTGCGATCCGTGACACACGCACCGCTCCAGACCCTCTGGGGACGTGGGTGTTTGTACACCCGGCGTCCACCCTCCTGTCCGACCCGGCCCTGTGTTTCCGGCTGCAAACCCACACCCTTACCTCCTCACCGTCCCTCAGTTTCTGGGGCTCGTGCTCGCTGCTGACGTTTTTTAAGGAATATTTTTTCACCAAAAAAATAGTTTTTTTCCCTAACAATTAGACACCCAAATGCCTGAGTCAGGGGACGTCACTGTGGACATGGGGCTCGGTCCACACAGGGTGCCAGTGGGCACAGGTGGTGGGAGGCGGGGTCACCCGCAGGGCCGTGAGAGCTGATGGCCAGGTGACCCTGGCGGGCAGGTGACCTGAGGAGAGCACCACAATCAGCATCTCCTTACGGGTGAACCGGGGCCTCCCGCTCACGCTGACGGACACGCGCGCTCTCTCCGCAGCCGGACCTTAGGACGTCCTGTCTCATGTTGCAAAGTCCCATCCTCTCTGCCTGCCTCGGACACGCTGGGACCCTGCGCGGGACACCAGCTTCGTGGCTCACCTGAGTGCTCCCCTCTGTTCTGGGCCAGTGGAGACGCTTCTGCTGAGGACGGAGCTGTCCTGGTCCCCGCCGCAGGCCCCGCGCCCTGGGCCCCACCCGGCCGCCCAGAGGTTGGTGCGTGGGCAGTGTAGCCACAGTCCCGGGGAGCGGGGGCCGCTCTGGACAAAAGCCGCTGGCTCCCGGCACGCCCTGGGGCGAGCTCCAGAGGCTGCCAGACTGAGGTCCTGGGGCCTGTGGAAATCTCGGGGCGCGTTCTCCGCCCTCTGAGAAAACAGCGTTTCCAGCTCCTGTTTTCATCCTCAGCAGGGCCGAGTTCGACTTGCCGGAGGACGGCTCTGGCTGCCGCAGGCCCGTGCGGGGTGCCTGTGAGAGGCTGCAGCGGGGCCCCTAGGTGATGCTTGCTGAACGGACCTGCCCCGAGCCCCTGCTAATAATCGAGGCACCATGCTCGGCCCCACGCACCCCTGCACCGCGGCTCTGCACCTGGATTGTGCAGATGAGCGAACCACACTCAGAAGAGCAAAGCGTCCTGCCCGAGGTCCGAGGCTGGGAGGCGGCAGCCCCACAGAGGGGTGCTGGCCAGTGCTCGCAGCTGGCTCTCCGATGGGGTCCTGATCTGTGGCGGCTTCCGATTTCACTCTGACCGACCAGCTCACAGATCTAGAAATTCAGCTCCAGCTCACCCTGCAGGCCGGAACCCCAGCCCCGGGAACGCAGGACTCTGCGACCCCGGGCTCAGCCCTGGGGACTCCCAGCGGAGGCCCAGGTGGGCGTAGACACAGGCCCACTGCCCTGCCCCTGACCTCTCTAGCCCGAAGAACTCCCAGGCATGCAGGTGGATTTTCATCACCCTCTGCTGTGGGGCAGCTGCGGCCACAGCCGTGGGACCCGGGGTCTCTTGGGGACAGGGCGTGGGTCAGTTCCAGCTGCTTCGGCTGGCCAGCCATCAACACGCCTGGCAGCCGGGAAGCGGTGGGAGTTGGGGGCGGGGAGGGAGGGAATGAGCCCGTGGTCAGTACCCCACGCTCCTTCTGAAGCCCAGAGCAGCACCAAGCACGCCCGTCCCAGAGGGGACACCTTGCCGGCTCTGAAAAGTGGTGGAGGCGCTCTCTGCCCGGTGCCAGCAGCACGTCTGAGTGCCCACCGCGGCCACACTCTGGACACAGGACTCCGAAGTGCCCGGTGGTGACCACATGTGCCGGAGAACTGACTGTCTGGGCAGCAAGGGAGACATGCAAACACTGGACCTGTGATGCCTCAGGGAGACACAAAGCATCTGAAGGAAATAGAGAAACAGCCCGGGGCAGAGGTCACACGGGAGAAGGTGTGACGGGACACTTCCAGGCCGTCCCGGACCCCCTGGGAAGGAAGGGAAGGAGGACATGCTGGAGAGAGGGGTCCTGAGAAAAACCCCTGGTGTCAGGACCAGAAAGGCGCTCAGTCCTGGGGCCCCCGCAGCTCCTCCGTGTGCACGTGCTCCCACCCCCGACCAGGACCCTCTCGGAGCAGTGGTGCGTGCTGGTGGGCGTGAGTGGCCCCGGGGAGAATGGTTCCAGAGCTCAGGAAAGGCCATCCAGGACGGGCGGCGAGGGCCCAGAGCAGCTGCCAGCAATGCCGGGAGCTCTTCCTCCCACAGCAAAGCGGTCTCCGCGGGGCCAGCCTTGGGGACCACAGACTTCCCGTCTCAGCACATGTGAAATCAAGGCCACTCTGGGTTCCCCGTGCACTCCCCGGGGTGGGCAGGACTCAGCGTTAATTGCAGAACCTTCCAGAAGGGAGGGTGAGGTGTTGAGAGCAGGGTCTGGGGGTTTGGGATTCATGTGTCTTTCCGTGCCTCGGTCTCCTCTTGTGCCAACGGGGCGGAAGCGGCTCCTGCCTCTGTGTGCGTCTCCCGTCCTGAGAACGGGGTCTCTGCAGCAGCAGGGGGCCCGCGGACCCCACACCTCGCCCTCCCGCCGTGAGCAGGGTGGGAGATGAGGACCAGGGTGAGTGCTGGGTGTCCCGCACCCACCTACCCGCTCACGGTAAGCCCCTGTGGGCGCGGGAGCCCCACTCAGTGGCCCGGCCCCGGCCCAGCCAGCAAGCATGGGGAGCCCCCTCACCCCCTCGGCACCTTCCTTCCAGGGTCCCTTCCAAGAGCCACCAGCGGCAGAGGCCCGGACTCCAGAACATAGCCCCCCTCGCAGCAGGTGCAAGGGTGTTTGCAGCGGCCCTCCTACCTCTGTGGCTGGAGGAGCTGCCAACACGCGCTCCCCTCCGGCCTCGCCCAGTGGGCAGGGTCAAGAGAGGAGAGGATGCGAGCCCCGGGCAGGTCACGGCCCCTGTGGCGGCCGTGGCAGGAGCTCGGCCTCTCGCCCTGCGGCAGCTCTGCAGACAGACCCGAGTGCCTCGCCCCGTGTCAGGGGCTCTCCCTGGTCGAGCGGGCGGAAGATGACAGATCACACAAGGCCCGGCCGTGAGGGCACAGGGGCCCTCGCAGACCCAGCCTGTCCTGACCGCCTTGCCTGCCCCTCCCACCTTCCCTGTGCCTCGAACCTCAGCCTCAACCCCCAGGAGGTGCTCATTTCCCAGGTGTCCCCTGGGGTGGGCAGGAGGCAGACGTGCTGACAAAGTCCCCTGTCCTCATGTTTACTGCCTGTTCCCAAGGGGCCCTGCCCGAGAACCCGGGAGGGCAGAGGAACAGCGACCGTTCCTTCGATGGGGACGTCCTCACCGGCAGGACACATGCGTGTCACTCACGACCGGATGCTGGCCATCCCGAGGTCAGGACAGGGACAGCCGGATGCTGGGCAGGCTCTGCCTGGACAGGTTCGGTCTCATCTGTTGGATCCGTGCACGGCCGGGCGGACATGGTAGAGGACTGGCTGGCGTCCTGGGCCCCAGTGAAGGTGAGCGAACCCCTGCTCACTGGCCTGGGCAGCAACTCGTGGTGGAGCCCGAACCGCTCTTTTCTCCTCCCCTGGGGGGAGGGAGGCCAGTTCACAAGGGCAGTGGTGGGTGACCTCACATCTGGGCTTGCAGCTGGGCTCTGCTCAGACTCCAGGACCCCGTCCACCTTCTGGTCCCGCCTGGAGCGTGGGGGGACCTGCTCCGGCTCAGCAGCACGTGGCGTGGGGAGGGCCCCGCGACCACGCCGCCCCACGGACACCCGTCTGCCCACGTGCTGTCGCTTCCTTTGTTAGCACAGCCGCGCGGGGACCACCTCCGGAGGGGCCGGCCGGCACCTGCCCGCAGCCTTGCCCATGGGCCGTGCTCTGGGGGCCACCGGCACAAACCCAGATCAAACCACACCGAAAAGTTCTGCCAAACCAGTGAACACACGCCCACGCCCCAGACAGTCCACGTTCTTCTCCGGGACCCGAAACCGCACAAAGAAAATGGCCACAAGCCCGCTGCTGGGGGCTGGGAATCCCCCTCCCCCTCCCCTCCTCTCCCCTTCCCCCTCCTTGGGGCGTGGCCTACCCTCCCCATCCCTGTCCCCACCCCGCCCCACGATCCCAGCCCCGTCCCCCAGAGGCCGAGGGTCCCTCCGCGCAGAGCCTGGCGTGCGCTGGTCCCCAGGTCGCCTGACCCGGGCCCCGCGGAGGGCGCGGGAGTTCCTTTTGGCGCGAACTTGCTGCGCGGCGTAGAGACTCACGTGCAGCAGGAGCTCGAGCTCTGGGCAGCGGCGGAGACCGCGGAGCCTCCCGCGCGGCTTGCCCCGGAGGTTCCAGGTGCAGCGGGCGTGCGGAGGTCGGGGTGCCCGGAGGTCAGGGGACCTGGAGGTCAGGGAGTGTGGATGTTGGGGTGCATGGGGGTCGGGGCGCTTGGAGGTCAGGTCAGGGTCCGCGTGCAGTGAGTCTCCATCCCCGCCTGGTTTGCCCAGGGAGGCGGCGGCGTCCCCCGCGGGTCCCCAGCACACGCAGCGGTGTCCACGTGACCGGCTCCCCAGCTTCTGACTGGGCACCTGCGCTGGCTTCCGGTGGAGGCTGGGCTGTCCTGGCTGCCAGGACCTGCTGCTGAACCAGGGAGGGGACGCTGGACCAGGGCCAGGTCCCACCCTTGCAAGCCGCCCCACCCGAAGGGCCGTGCTGCTGGGACTCCGACCCACAGAGGCATCCTCAGTGCTGCTGCTGCGGCGCGTGTTCCAGCCCCGAGTCCAGAAACCACTGTCTGTGCCTCAGTTTGTCCCCGGTCAGATGCGGAAGGAATGAGCTGGGAGGCTCTGCGCAGACCACGTTGTCTGGTTGTTTTGGCGGGAGGTTTGGAGCCTTGTTCCCCTGGTGGGTGCGGCCATGGGTGCTGGGCGCTGGAGGTCGGGTGGGGTGACCAGTGCGATGTTGGACATCTGGGGTTGGCCCAGAGACCACACACTGACCTCAGGGGCTGGGGTCCGGTCCTGCCCAGGACGCACACTGGTCACTATGGGCCCCCCTCACCCGGTCACACTGAGCTCTCCAGGGGCAGCTCTGCTAAGTGCCTCAGGCCTCCGGCTAGAGCCCTGAGTGAGACTGGAGAAAAGATCAGTCTGTTACCGCACTAGGGACATCTAGGGACAAATCTGTCCCATGTCCCGGCGGCCCCGGGCGGTTCAGAGAGGTGAGGGGACTTGGTACCTTGCACAGTGACAGGTTTGATCAGCTCGTGCTTCCCTCGCACTCCTGTGACGTGCGAGCTGCTGCTCTCAGAGGTAATGTCCGAACCAGGCTTTGCTCCAGAAGAGCGGCGCGCATGTCTAGGACTGAGTCGGCCTCAAGAGTCAGTCCATTAGGGGCACCTGGGGGGCTCCGTGGATTAAGCCTCTGCCTTCGGCTCAGGTCATGATCCCAGGGTCCTGGGATCGAGCCCCGCATCCGGCTCTCTGCTCAGCAGGAAGCCTGTTTTCCCCCTCTCTCTGCCTGCCTCTCTGCCTATTTGTGATCTCTGTCTGTGAAATAAATAATAAAATCTTAAAAAAAAGAAAAAGAGTCGATCGATTACTGTGATCGGTGGCTGGAGCCGGCCTTCCCGAGACGTCCTGCTCAGTCCTGGACGCCCAGCTCGGAGCATGCTGGCTGGTGTGGAACGCGCCGTCCCGGGGACCGTGGGCTGGGTCACTCCTTTCTTAGGGGCTTCCAGGGTCGTGGGGGTGAGGACTTTCCTTGGGGTGGGTCTCTGTCACCCAGGCTTGCTGCTGAACCTGGGAAACGCACTCTGCACCTTCCAGAGACCCGGGCTGGTCTCTGGCTCAGCCAGGGGCAGGTGCGTCCACAAGGGCCAGGCGGGCGGGCTCCTGCCCAAGCCCCAGCCGACTGTCATAGAGAGACGAGTTCGGGGCTGGGGGGGGGGAGAGGGTGTGCGGAGGTTGAGAGAGGCACCTGCCTGTCCTGGTTTTTTGGTTTCCAGATTCCAAGAACTTCCAGCCCCACAGCTCTGCTCCCCGGCTGGGGGAGGGCGGCCGCGTGGGCTCATTCTCTTTCGCTTTTGCACCAAAAGCAGCCACAACAAAAGTCCAAACGTGTCGACAGTGGAAACCAAACCCTTTATCTGCGCGGACCTTGGGAAATAGGTCTGCAATAGGACATGATTTCGTTCCTCTAATTTATAAAAAATGCACATTAATAAAAGGAAAACTTTCCCAGAATCACATTTTGTAGAGAAATGGGTGTCAACACCGAGTCGTACACATCTGCTCTGCTGGGTAGGTAACATCGTATCTGATTCGTGCTTCACGCTACACAGTACGTGGTCTCCGTGGGGCCAGCCAGGCCCCGGGCAGACGCTGTCCTCAGGGCGGCTGGACCCCACCGCTCAGGGACGCTGCCTTGGCCAGAAGCCACTACAAGGTGAACTTCAAATAAGAAGGGGCAGATGTACTTTGTTGCGAAAGAACACTTCACAACGACGTTTTGGTAAGTCCTTTACTTCTCTTTCTGACAGTTTTTGTCATTGTCCCCGGGATCGCCTCCAGGGTGAGGGTTGCCACAGTCCGTCCCTCCCCAGGCACTTAACCCCCTAACAAGCAGGTCCAGGAAGCGGCTGCCTTGCACCGGGCGCTGCCAGCACGCAGCCCGGCTGGGAAGGCTTCCCGCGGGGTCCCAGAAAAGCAAGGGGTGGGTTGTTTCCCGCTGTGCCCAGCAGGTGGTGCTGTCGGCCGAGGAAAACAGGAGGTTCCCGGGACCTGCTGCTGACATTTGTCCTAAAGGAGAGAGGTCTAAGCAGGGGCCGTGCCCCACCCACAGCCCTGGGCTCCCGCGGGGGCGCTCACGGGGTGAGGCTCACGCGATGGGCATGCCCAGCGAGGGGGTGCCTGGCTCCCACCGCGTGACCCAGTCTGATGGCCCCAAACAGCTCCCGCACCATCGGGAGTCCAGCTTTGGTGGAGATGCTGGGGCGGTTGGTTCCAGGTGGACGGGCAGGTGGATGGGCAAAGAGCCACGGGGACGGCGTTGCCAGCCCTCCTCCGGACGCAGAGCAGTTCCCAGCTCGTACCCGGACTCAGCTGCTCTGCTGCGAAATGAAGGGGCCCCACAAAGTGACCCTGGGGGGGGACGTCCGGGGCTAAAGTCGCGTGAGGCTGATTATCCCCAGGAGGCTGCCAGTTTGCAGGGTCACCCTCCTGGGAACAGCCAAGGAGGAAGGGAAACGAGCCAGGACAGTGACAGAGGGGCCTGGGAAAGGAGCGGACGGACCCCTACACGCTCAGTCCAAGTGCTTCAATCACAACAAAACTGTCACCAATCCTGACAGCGCGTCCCCCAGAACTGTGCCGGCAAAGTTACCAATACCCCAAACAATCTGACTGCACGAGAGTGAAGATTCCCCACAAGTGACAAGAGGGGAGCACATAAGGCCCAGCTCAGGGTCCCTGGGGTCGTGGCCCATCGATACTTAATTATCCCGGAACCCTCACGATCCGGGACTGTCCCTTCTGGCTCCCTGGTTGTTCATCAGGAGCTTATGAGGCGACACTAAGCACACGGGCACCACGACACGAAAGACCAGCTCCTAGAGCAGACAGCGCAGGGACTCGAAGCCGCTGGCCGCGGTCTGGCCCTGATGCCGGTGGGAGTCGGAGCAGCTGCGGAGGAAGACGGGCCTTCAGGGCTCTCTCCATTCCCATCTTTCCTCCAGAAATCCCGCGGAGTCTGAGCCTGGGTGCCTCATGTCCGAGGCCCGGGAGCACGCGCTCCACGATGTTTGCGGACTCCGAGGGGGACGTGGGCTCCTCGTGGTGAGGGGACCAGTGGGCTTTCCCCAGGGGGCCTCTGGTAGCAGCTGAATCGCTGAGACTGTCGTACTGACGGCTGTAAGATCTGGGCCCCAGCTCCTGCGCGAAGCAACACTGTGGGCAGGTCACAAGCAGTGGGACCCGTGTCACAGATGTTCCCGTTTCCTCCGCCACGTCCTCCCTCCTGGCGCGTCAGGAGGAGCTGCCCCGCCCTGAGCTGGTCTCTGTCACTAACTGCGCTCCACATTCCGGGGCAGGGCAGGCTTCCCCCTCCCATCTTCCCATCTCCCAGCGGGGCTGGCAGGGATGGGCCACCTGGGCAGGGGGCTCAGCCGGCCACTCGGTCATTTGTGTAGAAAACTAGGGCCACGACGATCACTGCTTTGTGGGGGTTCACAGCCCCTTGATGTGCTGAGGCTAAGAGCCCTCAGAGGGGTGTCGGGCTGTTACCTGGGGGTGTGCCAGGTGTCCGGAGCGGGGCCTGGCAGTCCCCTCAGGGCGACACAGATCTGAAGAGCCAACCTCCTCCCACTGCTGCCCGCAAGGAGGACTGCCGGTAGGGGACACTGCCAGGAGGGGACACCTCCAGGAGGGGATGTAGCGGGGAGGGGACACAGGCATGGAGCGTCCGTGGCTTAGAGGTAGCTGAGACGCAGGACGCAGGGAAAGGGGTGGGTGGGCAGGAAACAGGGAGGAAGGAGTAGGAGCAGCGACAGGACCCCGGGGAAGACAGCCTTGAGTACAGGGAAGATGGCGTGTCCCGGCGTGTCGGGTGAGACGGAATGGCTTGTGAGCGTATGGATGCGTGTGGAGGCCGCCCCGGGAGGAGTGGGTCAGGCAGGTGCGCACAGCCCGTGGCCATGTCGTGACTTGAGCAGGTGCTAGGTGAGCCTCGATTTGGGAAACGGCCTCAGTGGCGATTTTGGAAACACAGAACTGCTGTCACGCAGTGACCCGGGTCAGGGTGTCCTGCTTGGCGTCCGACAATGGGCAGGGCCGCCATCGTCCACCCTGTCACCCGCCTGTGAAAGTGAGCGTGAAGGACACGTGACTCTGGCTCGGGGAGCAGTGCACGCTTTATTCAGGACGGACACGCCAGGATCGAGGTTGTTTCCAGAGGGAACCTCCTCCCCCTTGTTGTGTGGGAAGGGGGTTCCCGTCCCGAGAAGGACCATCTGCTCCCAGGAATCAGCCCGCGGCCGCCCCGTCACACACCGGCTTCCGAGCATGTCACTGCGGTTCCTACTGGCAGGGAAGGATTTGGGATCCGCAGTCCGGGTCCTGCGGGAGAGAACTGGCTTTGAGCATGTGCACAGACTGGGCACCCGCCGGGGCCCCAAGGTCTCAGACAGCTACTTGGGGGCCCAGGGACACGTGGGGTCCCAGGGTGCCTGGAAGGGTCCTGGTGTGTGCGTTCCAACGGGGCATTTCGGTTCCCTGCTTTGGGGTGGGCGCAGGTCCTGCCCTGTGGTGGGACGCATCGGGGGCAGGGCCAGCCAGCTCCGAGTGTCCCAGGGCCGGCCGCCCACCTAGGTCTCGGACAGGCGTGCGCACGCCTGACTTCAGTGTCGCCCGTCCTGCGCTCACGCACACAAAGTAAAAATAGCTGCACGCGAGTCTAGACCAGTTGCCTCCACACTACTTGAAATGACTCCGTTTTTTTTATACAAAGTGCTTTCTAGAAGTCAACATTTCCTTTCAGTTTCTGGCCGTCACGTTCGGCCGAGACTTGGGGTGACGCGGAGCGAGCGCCTGCCGGGGCTCAGTTCCGACCCAGTGTGCACAAACGGGAAGCGCTGGCCGGCTCCCGCCCCGGCTTACTCGTTCTAGTGCGTCTGCACTTTCTGAACGAAGCAGGTTACACTTGTCACACGTCATCCTCCCGGAAGAACGCAGCTTGACGCGCCGGGACCGCACAGCGAGCGCATGCACAGAGGACCGGGCCGGCGTGGGCAGCCACGCGGGGTCAGGGGACCAGGGTCCCCGTGATGGCCTCCTGGTCTGAATGGGAACGTGGACGAGTGGGGACCCTGTGCCCACCCAGGCGTGCACCCACCTGCCCTGCGCCCCGAGTGGCGGCCGCAGATTGTGACCCGTTCGTGTCCTGGCACGTGCGGAGACCCCGCTGGCAGGCTCCTCTTCCACCCGAGTCTGCGATGCCCAGCGAGGCTTTCCGGCCGGCGTGTGCCCTGTGGACAAGCACACACCTGCTGACGGAGGTCATGACTCGGGCGAACGCCCAGGGCCCATCACACACATTGTCATGCTGTCACTGTGACTGGAAGGGGTGCTGGGACCCTGGGCACCTCCTGATCCATCCAGGGAAGAGCCCAGGGCCACTGAAGCCGGAGGACAGCAGCAGGTGCGGCTCAGCCTGCACTGTTCTCCGTCGCGAGGGGCGTCAGGGGCCGCGCGGCCCGTCCCGCGCCAGGAGCCCCGCCGCAGCCACAGAACGACCTGCCCAGAGACACCCCCACCCCCAGTCCCGCCGGACTCATCTGACCCCACTTCTGATTTGTGCAGTGGGTTCGGAAAATCACTGTCCCCAGGCGGAGAAGCTGAACTGGGGTCAGCCCCCGTGCTGCTTCCTGCCTTCTGTTCTCCGGGCGACGGCACGCACGTGGCGTCTGGACGCAGATTTCCTGAGCCGGGACTGCCTGGGAGGCGCGCTGTGCTCCTCTCCGGCTGGAGCTGGTCCTGCTGCGGCTCTCCCTCGTCAGACCCTCCCAAAGCTGGGGGCCCCCAGGGTGAGAACAGCACCCCCAGGGCGACCCGCGGCACCGGAGGTGTCACAGGGAAGTCAGGAAACGTGACGGGAGGAATGGGCGTGGACAGGACGCACTGGGACCCCTGGGCGCACTGAAAGCCACAAGCAGAGGGGACGAGCCGGCGACTCGTGTCTGCATGGAAAAGAAGGAAGACTTTGGCTAAACCATATAACTTGGCAGCCATGGGAGCAGGAGCAGCTGAGCCCGAGCTGTGGAGGGCAGGACAGGGACACCAGAGCAGAGGTGACTCAGGGGTGTGGCTCGACCTCGGCCCTGCCTCCACCCCTGCCCAGCTCTCTGTGGGGTCGGCACCCCGTGGGAGCGGGAGCGGGCGCGTCCTCCATGGAGCCAGGATAGCGGGCCGGGCGCGTGGCACCATCCTCCCAGAAGCCCACCAGGCTGCGGGAGCTTCGGATGAAGCCACGCGGCCTCGCGGTAAAGGGCTGGGAGGGAAGCAGGTGTCCCGATGCCAGGGCGTTTGTGGATTGTGGGTGCGGAGTCCCTGGTGCGGACACAGCGTGCCGAGGGGCCGGGGGGAGCCCCACCCACCGGCTGTCCGGCGAGAGCTCCCTCAGAGGGCAGTCCCTCGGGGCGGCCACCGGGGCCAGGGCCCCTCCCTCCGCACCCTGTGCCCTTCCAATCCCTGAGGACAAATTCCTTCCCTTTCTAAGCTTCCCTCTCCCTGGGAGGACCACAACCAGGAGGCTTCAGGCTCTCGACCAAATTCACGACCAAAGGCCTTCTGTTGTGGGGAGGGGAGTGGATCCCAGGCGGGGCGTGTGGGGGCACTTCTGGGCGTGGCTGTAGGTTCGCCTCCCCGAGGGCTTAGGTGCTGTCTGTCTGTCCCCACAGAGGCCGTGGGCCAGCAAGTCAGCGTCTGTCTGTGCCGCTCTGAGTGCCTCTGTGGCCCGACGGCTCTGCTCTCTGCCGCCACGGGTGACCAGCGACCCAGCCGAGCTTTGGGGCGGGTATGAAGGCTCCAGAGTCCAGACTCCAGAGCAGTGGACACTGTCTTCCCAAGTGCCCATTTGACGGACGGCTGTCCGTCTTAACAAGAACCCCTTTTCCTTGTGTGGGGCCTGAGGCATCTTTGCATCACGGTACGACGGCGGCCGAGGTCTGACGGAGATGATACGTAAACTTAAGTCACGGTGATGTTGGATTTTCACAGCGTGGACGTTCAGTCCATGGGATCGCGGCTCCCAGCCCCTCCGCCGGTGTGTGCCCATGGCTCATTTCACCGACCGGTGGGTGGCCGCCTACGGCTTTCAGTTAATGCCCGTGCTGGAGCTTCTAAGGCCAGGCGGTCCGTGAAACAGGCTCCGTCCTGCCGCCAGCCCTGCCGAAAACTAGCGACGCCGCTCAGCAGTTGGTGTGGCGGCCAGCAGTCGGCAGGGCTGCCCTGAAGAGGACGTTGCTGCTGACCGGTCGGTGGTTTGGCGGAATGACAGCCTGGCGGTCTCGGCTCTGATGGCGACGGTCCCGACGGTCAAGGTCCGGATGGCGACGGTCCCGACGGTCAAGGTCCGGATGGCGACGGTCCCGACGGTC